AAACATACCTATGAATTTTATATTACATTTCTGACAATAGATGCTTCTCAGTGTTATACACGGGAGCTTTAACATGTAATTTATTTAGTTGTTTTGGTGTTTTTAAAGATTTACATCTTCAGTAGGACGTAATGCGGTTGGAGCTGAGAGAACAGGAAGAACAAATTGTTTCAGGGGTTTTATTGATAGTAAAACATACACAATAACCTCCTCTATCTGTTCTTGATGATGTTGTGCTTTAGTATTTTAGTTTATTTTCATGGAGGAAGCTAATCTATGGTACATATTGACAGAGAGAAGACATTAATACCAATGATAATAATATAAATCTATTTAATCATTCTATCTCCCCCACTTTTGATCTCCATCGTCATCGGCCTACTTCTCCTCCAGAGTTAACAGCCCGGGGTTACAGGACAGAGATCTGAAGGAATCTGATTAATGTAAGGTGGATTTTCAATTAAAAATAACACAGCACACCCTGGAGAAACTGCTCATTCCTTCTCGCAGCCGGACGTTTAAAGGAGGCTTATAGACACATTACACCCTCTCAATCCAGGATCTCTGTCAGTTTCTGGTAGCTTCCGTCACAGTCTGCCTGCCGGGGAAATAACGGCTACGCTCGAATCGAAACAACCGCTGCCTCTCCGTGGTTTTAAATGGGCGGATATGCAGCTATAAAAGGAGCCAAACCGGCCTCCTCCTACCTTTCATTCTCCCGGTGGTGTGAAATCGTAAAAAGACACAAGAGACATTGTTGCTCTAATGATGTGACAGGAGGTTTATTTGAACTCCTTTTTGTACTGAGGTCCTGGGGGGAGACAGTCTGATGAAAAGGATAAAAGACGAGTTTAATAAAAGTGTTTCAACCTGAAAATGTCTTTATATTCAATACCTGTTCTTTTATATTCCATGTTGCTTGTGACACACTTGGTTCAACACAATTACAGACAGAAAATGTACCTGTGCTGGTTTCACCTCCATGTTGGTAGTTCTGATTATATTTGTTGTTTTCAGGTGTTTCTAATCTCTTTCTACAGGTGCTAAAGAATCTAATGCGTGAGTTCAGGGATGTGTGGAAAACAATATGATACCAGCAAGAACTTCAATCTAATGTCTTAAACCTGCGTTCTGTGTAACGATCAGCAGGGGGCAGCTCAACTGGTTGCAATAACACACAGATACCATTCAGTCTTATGTTGATTTATTCCCTCAGTAAACAGTTTCCTGATGA